TGTAATCCCAGCACTTTGGGAGGCCAAGACGGGCAGATCACGAGGTCAGGAGATCGAGACCATCCTGGCTAACACAGTGAAACCCCGTCTCTACTAAAAACTACAAAAAACCAGCCGGGTGAGGTGGCGGGTGCCTGTAGTCCCAGCTACTTGGGAGGCTGAGGCAGGAGAACGGCGTGAACCCAGGAGGCGGAGCTTGCAGTGAGCTGAGATCGTGCCACTGCACTCCAGCCTGGGTGACAGAGCGAGACTCTGTCTCCAAAAAACAAAAAAGCAGAACTATAACAACAATGCAGTTCATTTATAAATCTGAATCTCATATGGGCGCATTCCCGGTGTAAGTGGGTGCAGATTGGAGAGGGAAAGAGCATTAACAGGGCAGGGGTGCCCTCGAAACGCTGACAGAGGTTTTCTCTGGGCCAGAGACACTGAATTTTCAGAAAGAGCGTGTGTTGTTTTACACTAAGAAAAACAAAGACGATCCTAAAAATATAAGGCATTTCACTCATTTTCTACTCTTTTTCCTTACTGCATAGTCTATTGGGATAATACCAAAGAGTATCCATCTGCCCTTCAAACGCGCCCTTCCCTGCAGAGAGAAACGAAGATGCACAGCAACATTACCATGCTAGAGTGGACGGTGGCTTGCTCGATGTATCTTGCGATGCCAGTAACAAATGCATTTCTGTCTTCAAAGTTAGTGTTGAAATTTGGCTGAAAGAAAGGAAGAGAAAAACCGTCACGTGGGGTCGGAGCACAGGCTGTACGCCCCGCAGCTGCTGGGCACCCACCTGGTAGAGCAGCGAGGATGGCGGGGGCTCGATGCAGGGCTGCTGGTCGGGCAGGGGCAGCTCCTCCAGGAGGTCCACGTTGGACAGCGCGTCCTCCAGAGTCACCTGGGCTGCCATCCTGGGCTGGAACAACACACAAGGACCCCTGTTCTGTGAGGAGGAGGAGGAGGGGGCAGCCGACAAGCTTCGAGGTGGGGTACCCAGGCCTCTAACCCCTTCCCGCTCTCCTGAGGGCACTGGGGATCCTGCCGTGGGCATGATCAGTCCTTGGGAGTCGCGTGTCTCTCAGGGCACGGGGGCCAGCGGGCTGGGAGGCCCTGTGCAGCTTCTCCTTTCGCACTCGCTGAGAACAGGCTCTCCTGGCCCTCCAGGAGGGTCACAGTGTGGGGGACGTGGTTCCCGCCACCGTCCCCACCGCGGGGGCTGCCGTCCTGAGTTGCTGGTGCTGAGGACTCTCTGGAGGGTCTGACAACCCCCTCCCAGTGCTGGAGCGGCAGCGCCTCTCCAACACCACATCCGCCCAGCAGACC